TCCCGGATCAGAAATATTTTTTAAAAAATAATAATACAAATTTTTAAAAATAAAGTATGCATAGCACTTATATTTTGTTAGGTAGTTTAAGTAATATAGAGATGAAATTTACAGGAGGATTTGCATATGTTACATGCGAACTTATTCCGTCTTATATCAGGGACTTGAGCAGCCACAGATTTTGGCATTCCCAGTGATCCTGGAACCGATCTCCTCTGGATGACAGGGAACTACTGTACTTAAAAAGAATAACTAGAGACTGTGGAATTATCCAAGTGTGGGAATTTGAAATGGATGACTTTGAGAGTCCCAGATCTAGATGGCTCTCACATGCTTACTAGCCCCAAGATTTTACAATTCCAGTTGGTCATTGAAACTGTAAGAGACTTGTTAGGGAATAATGCCAACCTCAGAGGGCTGGGTTAATCAACAAATCCAGTTCTTGTGGTGTGTTACCATTTCTCTGAGCCTTTGGCATTTTTGTATTCTGGCTAACAGGTCACTTAAGAATTGCAGTTTTGGCTGGTCCGATGGAGTGGTTTATCAGAACTTCTTAGCATTAGTGTCACTAAAGTTGGTATTCAGCCCCCCATTGCTAAATTTGACTGGGTTAAAAGTGAAAAAAAAAAGAATTGCAGTTTTAGGCTAGTGGTATACTAGTGACTTTGAAGAATAAATGCACCTTTTAAAGGCAACTTACTTTAGAGTGGTTTACATATGCATTCATTGGAAAGCATCTGACTCAATAGTTTGAAACCTCTGAAATCCTTGGAGAAAGTACAGATGCTGAGATGGAAATGTAGTATGCTATTTGTATATTATTTCATTTCATGAAGTGGCAACTTGGCAGAGTTGTATTTAGAAGTGATTGCACTCTATAGTCCTTCTCCTCAGCCCTCTTTTATGTGGGTATAATCTACTGCAATAGTATCATAGACATTTATGCACTGCTGTTTGCATAAGCCTTTTATTGGAAATAACCCAACAAAAAAGCACTCACTGCTAGCTTAGCACAGTTGGGCCTTCTCTAACGCTTATTTTCCTACACATCAGAAAAACAAAATCTCTGGTTAATGTTAGTAGGACGCTATCTACAAGCAGGGTATTTAAAGATAGGCCTTTCCTCTTTCCTTAGCTTACCTCCTGAGGATGGAGGTTAGAGGCCCAAGTGACATAATTCTGTGCAGATCTGTGCCTAATAGAGGCAGCAAATTCAAATTAACATTATTACTTTTCACCTTATCTGTTTATGAAACTTACTCATTGCATTAACAAATATTTTTAACAAATAGATTATTCCACGACATTTTATTAGGTTTTTAAAATGTGATATTGAGCTATAATACAAAATTACAATGCTGATGGGTTTACCAATTAATATTATAAATGACTTAAAAGTTTGATCACACTCTGGAACTTGTAAATGTGTCACCTTCAGAGTTTATCTCTTTTTTTTTTTAATTTATAAAAGAAGTTTATTTGGCTCATGATTCTGGAGGATGTGAGGCCCAAGATCTGGCAGCTACATCTGGTCAGCTCCTGGTGAGGGCCTCATGCTGCATCATAATGTGGCAGAAAAGCAGAAGGGGAAGTGGGCATGTGCAAAAGAGACAGGGAACAGAGGAGGCTGATTCGCTTTTGAACAACCTGTTTAATCATATGAATAAGCATGTAGTTGTAGGGTATAAAGAAATCTTTGTAGATTAAAGATTTGCCACCTTTTGGTACAGTGGACTCAATTTATTTTTTGATGTTTGTATTATAGAAATTTACGATACTATAATAAATTCCCATGTACCCTCCATCCAGTTTGAGAAGTTGTCGACATTTTGCTGTATTTTTAAATGATAAAAACAACATTACTGAAAGTTTGGAAATATGAATGAAAATTACCTATGGTCCCATCTTAACCCAACTCTCATGATTTTTTGTATTTTCTTCCATTCTTTCCTTACAGTTATAATATATAGATATTGTTTTTCACTTCTTTTTGCTGAACATCGTCAAACTAAGTGCCAATAATAGCTATCAATTGATATCCCTCTGTGTCAGGCCACTGGGCTAGTTGCTTTACATATAATTCATAGAATCTTCATAATAACAATATAATAGTATAGATAATCCTCCCTCATCCCCCTCTCCCCTTTTACAGATAAGGAAGCTGAGACTCAGAGAAGTTAAGTAACTTGTTCAGGCGTTGTGTATCTAGTATATGGATTCACACAAGAATCTAATTCCAAGGGTATGCTCTTTTCTGTCTATAACATGGCCTCATCAAAAGCATTTTTTTTCATGTTGCTACATACCTCTTTAAGGAAAAAGAAATGTCAGTATGTAAATTTTGACCATATAATATATAGAAGCATCACTGGGCTATAGATGCCACTAAGGATGCAGAGGGATAAAAGGTATGAATGATCTCTGCCCTTCAGTGTTTATGCTCTAATGCTGAGGAACCTGATGCCTTTGGTACACTTACAAAGAAAAGTCACATGGTTAGTTCAGGCCCACCCTGATAATCTTCCTCTCTTAAAACCAGTTGTGCCATATAACACGAACTAATCATTGGGGTAAGAAACCTGTCATATTTACAGTCCTAGGAACTGTATACACTAGGGGGTAGAGAATCTTGCAGAACTATCTTAGAATTCTATTTATCATAAGCTCCCAATAAGAAACAACTCAAGTGTTCATTAAGAGGAGAATGGATAAACTGTGGCATATTCATACAATGGAATATCCTTAGCAATAAAAAGGAACAAATTATTATTAATAATAAACATTTCCAAATCTTTAGATTCCACCAAACTTGGAAAAAAAATACTCGAAAAAATTTTTTGTCTGTGCTGAACATGTACGGACTTCTTTCCTTGTCATTATTACTTAAACAATATAGTATGACATCTATTTACATAGCATTCATATGTTATTAGGTATTATAATTAATCTAGAGATTATTTAAATTATATGGGAGATGTGCATAGGTTTTATGCAAAGAATACAGTATTTTATATCAGGGACTTCAGCATCCACAGATTTTGGTATCTGGAGGAAGTCCTGGAGCCAATTCCCCATGGATACTGAGGGATGAATATGTGTAGTAACATGGATAAATTTCCAAAACTTTATGCTGAAAAGACCCAGGACAAAAGAATGCTTATGGTATGATTCCATTTATTTGAAGTTCTAGAAAAAGTAAAACTAACTGTGTTAATAGAAAATCACAATCTATTGGTTGTTGTTAGGGATGAGATGGTGGGGATTGCCTGAGAATGAGCACAAGAGAACTTTTCAGAGTGATGGACGTGTTCTACATCTTGATAGGAGCATGGATTACATAGGTGCTTTCATTTGTCTCAACTCTCCAACTTGACTCTTAAGTTCTCTTACAATCTGTATATTGCCCTGATTGTACATTGTACCTCAATTTAAAAATGAAAACATTGCTGTATTAAATCCTTGTTTTACTTCTTTCTCATCAGACTCTTGGATTAAGGAATGAACCACAATTATATATAATGTCCAGCATAAAATGTTAAAGCTAGAAAACAACTTCACAGATTATCTAGTTTAATTCCCTTGTAAACACTACTACTTTAATGGAGAAAAAAGTTTAAAATTGCTGATGATAAAATCTGCTGTAGCCACCCTCTGCACTCAGGGGGAGAGTTAGGCAATTTTACCAATTTGTGTATGCCAGCAGAAAATACAACAGAGGGACAGATTTGCTAACAGCAATGCATCTTGAAGTATAATCACAGAATGTGGATCGGGACATTTTCCTTAGATGTGTTTGGCAGGAGACGTTTTCTTACTGTGATGGGTCTGATCTGGGAATGCACAGCATTTAGCTGTTGCCCATGATCTGGCTGAGACATAATTTGTAAAAGCGCCATTGTAGTTAATAAAGGACACATGGTGTTAATGTTAAGAGTGTCTCCGACCTCACACTCCCTCTGTGGAAATGATCTATAAGATCGCCAAAGGTTTTGTGACCTTGTGTGAAAAAAAGGTCACATTTGTGTAGACAGATTTCACAAACCACCCCCTGCAGTTTTTATGTTAGTCTTTAAAAATTGTTTGTTTTTTTCAAACTACTGGTCATTGCATTAATTTCATATGATGTACTGACTGATTATTGATTTTAGGTTTTAAGTCTATAATGAAAATATTTTAGTGGCCATTAAAATCATTATAATTTTTAAAGGTTCTTTAACAATCAGTTTATCCTAAAAATTCTGCATTGTGCTTTGCATTTTTATTATGAGATGTTGCCATATGCTAGTATTTTAAATGTTTGTTTTCTGCATCTCTGAAATCTTACATTTTCTTATTGAATTTTGTTGCTCAGGCCTTTATGGGAAGTTACATTCTCTGACACCTCATTGGTAATTTCAGGCTCTGTTACTTGTTAGTGTTGTCTTCCAGAGTGGGCATGGTTCCTTCCAATGACTTAAAGAGAATTAGTAAAAACACCCATTCCATCCTTTCCTGGTTATTTGTTTGTTCAGTGGTTAATATAGTAAACTCAGAGCTTTGGAATTAAAATTGTCAAATTCTTTGAGTTCTGAGAAATTAGAATTTTTCATGTAAATGATTTTTATATGATGATAGTAGCCCTTCTGTTTAGTTGTAGCTATAACAATTCTTGGTTTTTCTGTATTAAAGAACATAACTTTGGCTTGGTTTACTTATGAATAATGCAGTTTATGTAAAATGATTTTGTGAGATGAAAACTCTGTCTTGTTCTCCTGGTATTAAAATAATTATTCCTTAAAATATCGGCACACAAAAGGACAAATACTGTATAGAGCTATCTAAAATAGTCAGATTCATAGAAACAGAAAGTAGAATGATAGTTGCCAGGAGGAAATGGGAGTTGTTTAAGTGGGTATAGAGTTTCGGTTTTGCAAGATGAAAAAGTTCAGGATATCTGTTGCACAACAGTGTGAATGTACTTAACACTATTGAACAGCACGCTTAAAAATAACCATTTTTGAGATGATAAATTTTATCTTATGTGTATTTTACCATGATTAAAAGTAAAACGTATATCTTAAACAAAAAATCTACTAGTTTTGCATTTTTGAGATGAAGAAATCAGTTTATAACCAAGAAATGTAAAATGTCGTTTAATCTGTTGACTTCAGATGAACAGATTCTTTCTTTCTTTTAGCCTCATCACGTGAGTACAGCATTCTTTACATTGGATGTTGTGCTTCAGCATTGCTTTCTTCTGGGGCAACTCCTTATCCCATCTTTTTTTCTACCTTTGACTACCCAGAACTCCTACATTTAAACTTCTTCCCAAAGTTGCTTGTTGGTGGATTAAAAACAATTTTTAATACGAGACAAATCGTAACTAAAGTTGAAGTAGGCATATAATGCAGTCGGCTGCTGTCTCTTTGTCCAGTGCTCCCACCTGTTACTGGGGACATTGAAAAAAATTATAGAGCAATCTCTGTGTATCTGGCATTGTGCTAGTGTTTCCAAATATGTGTTTTTTGAGAGTTGGTTGTTTATCAGAAATAGATCAAGTTGACTAGACTCAAAGAGACTTTTGATTATTATTTTTTAAGATTGCTTTGTCCATGGGAGTATTTTGTTCTTGGAACAAATTGTAAATTACTTAATGAAGATAATGTTCCTAATAAGGGTGTATTTTGGTGTTTAAAAGTGTGCTTACATATGTTTCACTAATACAGGGAATTAATTCTCAGTATGTGGATAGCTATAATGTCTCCAAAGTGTTCATTATGCTGGATTTGTCAGATTTATGTCATTGGTGGCAAAGCTCAAGAGAGAACAAGCGAGTACGTATTTCCTTCTGACTGTCTGTATGACTGTTCATGGGGACGTGTTCACAGCCAGTGTGCCGAAGCAGCCTAGTGAAAGGAAGACCATGCATCAGAATGTTTGTTTTGAATAGTTATTTTTAGCAACGGATCTAGAAATCGTATTTTCATTTTAGGATATACCTTCGTATTTATTATGAGCATTCCAAAGAGAGTAACTAATTTTAGGCATGCATATGTGAGTGCATGTGTACATTGCGTGCACGTGTGTATGTGTGTGAGAGAGAGACTGAGTCTGAGACTGTGTGTGAGTGTGAGAGAGAGGGAGAGGGAGGGAGAGGAAAGAAAAAGACATCCCCTTAATAGCAGGAGGGGGTAGAGGCTTACTCAGTCTATTATCATAAAGCTCGGCTAATGTAGCTTCTGAGTCATGTGACTGCAGAAAAGGCTATTATCTCAATGAAAAGGAAACCGGTTTTTAGAGCAAGCAATAGAATAGAAGCAGGAAGAATTTTCGAGTGTTCCACCATGCTGGATTGTCAAAGGGGGATCTGTCTGATCAGCAGCTAAAAAAGGATTTGTGTGGCTAGTTTGTCAGCTATATCGTTAGAAACAAATGATAGAGGAGATACACGGCGGGGTGCTCAGCATGTGCTTAGGTTTACATCAAGACGTGATGTTGATTTGGGTTGATAGAGGAGCTTTATCTCTGAGACAATCAATTTATTGCTAATTGTGGGGGGTTGTTTTGTTTTGATTAGTGATGTATAGTGTTTGTATTTACATCCCTGGTGAAGATAAAGAGAAGCTGCTGAGCTCTGATTTGAACTGCAGAGGCTGTGGACAATTACAAGGTGTGTTTCAGAAGTACTCTGACTTAATATTTGGTAATGTTCTTGGAATTCTGTGTGCTTGTGGATTGGATGTGCGTGCGTTGTCGAAGGGAGAACTGAGCATGACAACCAGGCGGTGATAATGTTCTCAGGAACAAACAGATACATTGTGACCCAAATTGATTCTGTGGTCTTTATTTCTTTTGTGTTTAGTGTTTAAAGATTACTTGCAGTTTCTTTATGTGGCCACGACAGTGTCATGCTTGCTTTTAGGAACTATTTTGGTAAGCATTTTCTAAAATTCAGGACAAGAGTCTTAATCTTTAAGATGCAGTTCTTAATTATTAAGGAATAAATGAGTGTAAGCTTTCTATTTGTATCTCCATGTTCATTTTTTTCCATTATCCTTTCATAATCCCAAGCTTAAAAGGGAGCTTTGCAATAAATTTGAAATTATTTAATTTTTGATTAGATGATAAATAAAGCTTTCTCTTTTGGCTGAGGCCTTGATTCACTGATTTTTTTTTCTTTTTTTGTTATGTATAGCACCTAACTTTCTCTGGTGGATCCTTATGCTGCTGTATGCAGAAAGCTAAATAACATACAGTTAATCTTCAGACTGTGCTTGCCCACTTTTGCTCATGCTAATGCTATTAATTGTCTCAGCAGTCTGTACCTTTCTCTTAACCTTGGAAGGTGTAGTATTTAAAAATCTGAGATTGGTGAAAGGTAATCATCCGTGTTATCTGAAAAGGGTTAACTATTACACAGTGTATACCTGAAGAATTAATTTGCTAATGTTTTTCCTGTAACTTCTACAGTAGATATGCTCTAGTGTGTGTATGTTTCCAAATCAGGTATTTTGAAACAACTATATTGTATACAGTTCCCTTTTGAAGTTGACATTGAGGAGATAAGAAATCTATCAGGCAATTCATAATACATATATATTTATATATGTATGTTTCTTAGTTTAACAAAGAATTAATTCTTGCTATCTTTTCTAATAAAAGATGGTGAGTGCAACTCAAACATAATTTTTAATTACTACTAAATGCAGAAGGTTTTCCTTATAATACCTACAAAGCATATATTAGCACAATATAGTTTAATAAATCATTAATCTTATTAAATGGGATTTTCTTTAAAGAAAAACAACATTGGCAACTTCTGTGTACAAAAACAACTTGGTTCAAATAAGCAGTTAATTGTGGCTTTTATCATTCTGGATTTTTAAAAAAATGTAAGTCTCTCCCACATTCAACTAAGTAGGCTATAAGTCAGTTACATACTGGTTTTAGCCCCAAAGGCACCAGCATCATATGTTAAATATTTTGAATAATAAAATTTTAAATGCTGGGTTGTTTGGGCTTTCTTTGTTTCCTTCGTTTTTGCTTTTTAATTTTATTTTGTTGCCTTATTAAAAAACCTTCAAATGGTCCAAGAATTTTGAAATAATTGCAGATGTTTTTATTGAGTACCTACTATTATTACAAGATACTCTGTGAAACAGCATGGGAAAACAAATGTAACTAAGATATTTAATCCAACAAGATAACTTACAACTGACATTGAAACCCATCCTTAGTAAATGTAATTTTCCTATATCTTACGGGAATTTTAAATAGAAGGAATTGTGTATAAAACTTATCTGACTGTTCAAAGAATACTTCCCTGATGACTTTGTGAATAACTTTTCACATGAGCATGTTTGGATGATAATGTTTGATAAATATGTTTTAACCAGTCTGCATTGTGCCAATTCATATTTCCTTTGTATTATAACAGAAATACATTTATTTATATAGTCTCCTACAACTGGAATGGTTTTTGTTCCCTCATAATGTTGTTTTTCTTCTAGGACATAAAATATCCTTTAAAAATTTAAAGTATTTTCATAAATGGATTAATATATTGTGTTATCTCAAAATGGCTTTACTTTTGGAGGTTTGTGTGGGGAAGCACCACAGTCAGAGTTAAAGGATACAAATTTTGACGTCAAGGTAGTGTCTAAACAAGCCAGATGACTAGTTTGCAAATCTTGCTGCACTTTAGAATTCCAACCACAATAATTAACCACAAATATTATAATCAGGTCTGATCTTGTCAAGCAGAGGGGGTTTGGTTCTTGGAGAAATTTTTAATTTGTAGGAAAGATAGGGTAAGACAAGGTGGAATTGAAGATGACCCTGTGTTGTGAAATATGTTCGTGGGACCTTTCTGTTTTTTGAGAAAATAAATGTTTGGGAAAGTTTAGACAGGATTAAAGTACTGGGTTATATTTTAGAGACAGCTTAATTCTCTGGAAGCCAAGAGGATATAAAATTCATGAAGTGAAAAAGTTTGTGCAACAGCCAGCAAATTTTTCCATGGTATTTCTTACAGGATTTACTCTAAAAATTATCATTCAGAAATGCTGAGAAAGTTTTAGAATCAGTTGGCTTATCCATTTTTCTCACAGGTGCTATAGTCCTTGGCATTAAGAGGTAAGACTTGGCATTTTCTGATGTATGTTTTTGTAATGATGAGTCTTTTTACCAGGTTCATCGTTAACATGCAAGTTTATAAGGCTTGTAATGTAATAATCACTAATAATAATATTACATAAACATACATTTGCTTTATTTTTTTCACGATACTGTAGTTATTACTACTCATATTTCATTAAAGATTTTGTAAGAAACACCAAATACTATAATCTTGACTTTGAATTGTTTCTCCTTTAAAAGTAAGTCAAGTTGAAGAAATATGTTTAGGTATAGAAGCTAAATGTTTAGTTTCAACATTTTAGATGTCTAATCAAACATAACAGTAAATTAATTGGCTAGAATAAAAGGCCATAAAAGCATGCTATTAGGATTATAATAATGTTTTGTTTCTGTAAGTCTGAAAACTCTAATCAAAATAAATAATAACTGTGATATTGAAACATCATAAGAACTTTGAAATGTTTAATTGTTTATTAACCTTTCCAAATTTTGCTTTCTTATTTTAAATGTAAAAGTCTCTATTTTTATATGTTATTTTTACATATACTTTTTTTCTTTTTTTTTTTCTTATTTTAAATGTAAAAGTCTCTATTTTTATATGTTATTTTTACATATACTTTTTTTCTTTTTTTTCTTTTTTTTTTTTTGGAGACAGAGTCTTGCTGTGTTGCCCAGGCTGGAGTGTAGCGGTGACACCATAGCACACTGCAACCTCCAACTCCTGGGCTCAAGCCATTCTCCTGCCTCAACCTCTGAAGTAGCTGGGACTATAGGTGTGAGCCACCATGCCCAGCCTTTACATATACTTATTAAATATAAGATTTTGTGGGCTTTACTTTTGCTTTTTCCTCTCTTTACTTTAGCATAACAATTGAACAGTAGTTTTCTTAACCTTAAAGCCTGCTTTTTTGTAGAATTTTATGCCGGGTACTGTTCTGTGGATCTTATATATATTAATTCATTTAGTTCTCACAATAACACTGGTTGTGCTACCTCATGCCTATTTTATAGTTGAGGAAATTGAGACACAGAGAAGTAGAGAAACTTGTTCAAGCTCACACAGCTACTAAGTAGTAGAGCAAGATTCAGACTCCAGTAGTTTACCTCCAGAGTCTAGACTCTAAATTACTATGTATGACAAGTTCAGTGGTCCTAGATTGGAGTTGCCAATTTATTCTGGAATGAAGACAGGATGAACATAGGGACAAGGAGAAAACTGTATTAAGGTTGAAGTGATTTTTGGTTTTTAATATGTATACTTTTAGTAAACTTCTGTTTTATTTCAGATATATTAAGAGTGAAGCTTTATTTAAAGGGCATTTGGTCTGGATTGAAAAGAAACATATATTCATGAAAATTTAACTCCTAGCTAATTCAGAAAGATGCTTTAGAGGAAGGGGAGATATGAGGGAGAAAATTACGTTGGGGTAGCAGAGATTGTTGAGAGCTAGACTATAAATTGCCATGGGTTAGGGAGAGGTTCTGTAGTCGTGGGATCTGAAAGGTGTGTGTTACATATTTTCTTACTTAGCTTCTTCCCCCTTTTCTTGGCAAATGCAGGCTTGGCTGCTTCCAAAGTCCTTTACTCACTACATTGCTATGATGGAGAATTCAGGTATAAAAACCACAGAGAATCCAAATTGAGATCCTGTTTTCAGACATTGAGAACACTGGAATGTAAACCACTGACTTAAGATTTGTTGTAGCACATTTTATATCCATGCAAATTTTCTAGAGAGAGGTGCTTGTCCACATGGTCTTTCAGAGGGGGAGCCCTTGTCCCTTGTCAAATGTTAGTGGTTTATAGCCTGTTTGCTCCTAGGTGATGTCACTCTTTCCAGTCAGTATTCATGGTAGGCGAGGTTTTACTTCACTAAGTCCTTGTTATTGGAGCCTTGGGGTAATGAGAGAAAGCAGAGTATGGATATGGCTTTATCACTCACCTTTGGTCCCTCTTGATGTAGCCTTTTATGTGTTGGTTTATTTCTAAAGTGCAAAAAGAACCAGTTTCATTCTTACACCCTAATCCTCTTGCTCATTTATTTAACAGCTGTTTGTTGTAAGATTTTGTCAGGTGCTTCACTAGAACTGGAGAAAAGTAACTGACTCTTTCTGAAAGTGAGGATTGATGAGGGAACACTTAGCAGAGAGAATGATGATGGAGCTGATTCCTTTTTGTGTGTGTGATCTTTTTTTTTTTAGCATATTATAGGGGTACAGTGTTAAGGTTACATATATTGCCCATTCCCCCTCCCCCCTTGAGTAAGAGCTTCAAGCGTGTCCATCCCCCAAACGCTGCACCTCTTACTCGTGGTTGTATATACCCATCCCCTCTTCCCCCCTCCCATCCTCCTGACACCCGATAAATGTTACTCTTATATGTCCACTTAGGTGTTAATCCATTAATACCAATTTGCTGGTGAGTACATGTGCTGCTTGTTTTTCCATTCTTGAGATACTTCACTTAGTAGAATGGGTTCCAGCTCTATCCAGGAATATACAAGGGGTGCTATATCACCGTTGTTTCTTCAA